GGTAAACACCAAATATACTGGCTAACCATTATTATGATTGTCCTTATTTTGGTTATTTTGCAGGGACATTAGGGCAGTGTTAAGGGCAAAGAGTTCATGTAGTTTCTCCAACAGTATTCTGACCTTGAGAATACAAAATGATAATCAACATGACCCTCAGAGTGTAGTACAGGCTTTTCTTCATAACATTCTGGCCTGAGGCTTGGAGTAGACAAGAAAAAAAGCTGTATAGCACTTAAGGCCTTCGACCTAACACCTATCCATTTGAGAAATCTTTACAACTGCCAAAGGGCTAGTTCAGAAGGATGGAAAAACAATAGGAATCAAACATTAGTTTCTTCTCATATAAAGATTGTGATCATATGAGGATTAGGATCTAAAAATGATGAGTTCCAGATCAAAATACAACAATTATTTATACTTTGGAACTTGGCCTGATGATAATGTTCAAGGTCATCTGAAAAAATAAAAATGTAAGAATAATGGAGCAAATTCTGGAAGAAGAACAATGAACAGAGGTACTCCCCTTATCAATTATCAAAATATGATAAAGTATGATTTAATCAAAATATGATATAAACGTTTGGCTAGTGAGACAAATTAAGGAAATAAATTGCAGAAATAGAATCTAACACACTAAAGGTAGTGTTTCAAATCATGGGGGAAATTTAATTTTGCATAAATGGCAGGGCAGTTGCTAAACTTTTAAATACTTTTTTTTGTTGTTTCTTTTTGATATATAGTCTTGCTCTGTAGCCCAGGCTGGAGCGCAGTGGCTGATCTCGGCTCACTTTCACCCCCTAGAGTTCAAGCGATTCTCCTGCCTCATACACCTGAGAGCTGGCACTACAGGCACGCATTACCACGCCTAATTTTTTCAGTCAGGCCTATAGTCCCAGCTACTTGGGAGGCTGAGGTGGGTGAATCACCAGACCCTGGGAGGTCGAGGTTGCAGTGAGACATAATGGCACCACTGTACTCCAGCCTGGGCTACAGAGCAAGATCCTGTCTGGAAAAAAAAAAAAAAAAAAAAAAGGAAAGGAGAAGAAGAAAGAGGAAGGAGGAAGAAGGAAGAAGGAGGAAGAAGAAGGGGGAAGAAGAAAGAAGAAGAAGCAGAAGCAGAGAAAAAAAGAAAAGAAAAGAAAGGAAAAGGAAAGGAAAGAAAAGAAAAGAAAAGAAAGAAAGAAAGAAAAAGAAAGAAAGAAAGAAAGAAAGTTTGTCCTTTGTCCAGTTTGCAAGGGTGTGAAGGAACATGTACCTGAGCATTGTTGGCAAAGTAGTGAACCCTCTTAGGAGAGCTTTGAGAACTTTAATAAAATATAACACACATATCTTTTGAACCAGCAATTATATTTCCAGAGAAATCCAAATAAATCACGCAAACCTACAAATATGTAGAAATGGCAGTTGGACGAATATTTGCTATTTAAATAAATTTACTTTTAGGTGCCAAGCAGTTTCTAAATTTGGGTGCATCAACGAACTCTATCTAGGTTTGTCTTGCTATTTCTACAATATATGGCTATAAAAACCTTCCAGATCACGAAGATAAAAGCACAGATAAACAATTAAAATATTGACACTCAAGAGTCCAAGTCCGAAATTAGAATATCTGGAGAAGCAATCTGATTCACATAAACCTTTTTTATTTTATTTTATTTAACATAAATCCTATCTACCTGGCTCTTGCCCTGACCGGCAGGAGAGAAACTTACGGTGACAAACCTGGAACAACGTTGGACCAAACACACTTCAGGAGCAGCAAAAGCGCGTTATCGTAAACCCAGGTCCCTCGTCGTGTCCAGTACCGAGCTTTGGCACTGTCAATAAATCTTTCGAGATGGATGGCAGCCCTACCTCAGCTAGTGAGCATGCGGGAAACTCCGCGCAAGCGCACAACAGCGATTTAACACTGCGTCTTTAGACTCCTGATCCGCGGGAAAATAACACTTGTCCGTGTTTTCTCCAAGCTCTCCGTAGGTGCAAGTCACCTGTTGTATTAAATAAAAGCGAAAGGTGTTCCAACTTTCAAAGACTGGCTCAAAAAAAAAAAAAAAAAAAAAAAAAAAAAAAAAAAAAAAAAAAAAAAAAAAAGAAAAGAAAAAAGAAAGAAAAGAAAACAAGAAGAAGGAATTAAAACATTAAGGCAGCAACAGTGTGTTGAAAAAAAAAATTGGTTTTGATTTCACCTGTCTTCCAGCCCACTTTGTACTACGTTCACTGTTTTAAAATGTTCATTGGATTAGGGATATCGCTCTGCGGCTATTTAACTTAGAACCCCTAGCGGTCCGTGGACAGGCTTCAGCAGGTCCACCACACACACCTCCACCTCCCACGCCCCACACAACAACAAAGCAACTTTATCAGAATTGTGTTAAAGATGCTTGCATATGTATGTGTGTATATATACACACACATATTTTTATATGTATAAATATATATACATTTTACATACGTGTGTGTATATATACACATATATGTGTATTTTGGGAAGGCAGCAGTGAGCCATTATCGACTCTGGGCGACAGAGCAAGCTATCTGTCTCTTAAAAATATATATGTGTGTGTATTTATATATACATAAATATATATAAAATATTAAAATATATATAAAGTATATAAAATATAAATAAAATAAACATATATATATTTAAGAGACAGATAGCTTGCTCTATCGCCCAGAGTCGATTACGGCTCACTGCTGCCTTCCCAATTCTAGGCTCAAGCCATCCTCCCGCCTCAGCCTTCCGTGTAGCTGGGACTACCGGTACAGGTGCGCGCCACCACACCCGGCTAATTAAAAGTTTTTTTTGTACAGATGGGATCTTTTTGGGGGGCGTGGTTGGGGGAGGGGGCAGTGTCTCACCCTGTCGCCCAGGCTGGAGTGCGGTGGCGCAGTTTAGGCTCACTACAATCTCCGCTTCCTGGGTTCAAGCGATCCTTCCGCCTTACCCTCCCAAGTAGCTAGGACCACAGGCGCGCCACCACGCTGGACTAATTTTGTTTGTTTGTTTGTTTTTTAAGTAGAGACGGGGTTTCATCATATTGGCCAGGCTAGTCTTGAACTTCTGACCCCAGGTGATCCGCTCACCTCGACCTCCCAAAGTGCTGGGATTACAGGTGTGAGCCACCGCACCTAGCCTAAAAAGGCTTTTACTTCTTCATATGATTTTCACAGTAACTCTGTGAGTTAAGTAGACACTTTTTGGGAAGTGGCAAAATATACATAACTTAAATTATATCACTTTAACCATATATATATGGTTTTATTTATTTATTTTTTTTGAGACAGGCTCTCACTGTGTTGCCCAGGCAGGAATGCAGTGGTGCAATTATGGTCCACTTGCAGCCTTGACCTCCTGGGCTAAAGCGATCCTTTCACCACAGCCTCTCAAGCAGCTGGGACCACAAGCACATGCCACCACATCCAGCTAATTTTAAAAATTATTTTAGAGACAGGGGTCTCCCTATGTTGCCCAGGGTTGTCTCAAACTCCTGGGCTCAAGTGATATTTCCACTTCGAACTCCCAAAGTGCTGCGATTATAGGCATGAGCTACTGTGTCCAGCTTCTTTTATCCCTTTTTTTTTTTCTAAATTGGGTTGTTTACATTTATCTTTTTGATCTGTAGCAGCTCTTTATGCATTTTGTATATTACTATTTTTTAATGTGTAGCAAATACTTTCTTCCACAGTATACTGTAGGGAAGGCAACATAAGATGGTGGCTATGCACACACACTGGAATCTAACTGGGCTTGAATTCCAGCTGTGCTACTTAGTTGTATCATCTTGAGCAAGTTACATAACTCTATGTGCCTTAGTTTCCTTATCTGTGAAATGGAAATACTCATAGTTCCTATCGCCCATGGTTTTTTGGTATACTGTGTCTTCACCTAATCTGGTCTTGAAGATTAAATGAGTTAATTCAGGTACAGAGCTGGAGTCACTGACTGGTGAAAGGCTGACATTGATTGAGTGCTTTCTATTTATCACTTGGTTTCTCACTTTCTGGTATCTTTTTTTGGTATATACATATTTTCATATTTGTAGAAAATCTGTCTCTCTTATTTATGTGAACTAAATGTTCTGGATGTTGTGTTTTATGATTAGGAAGGCTATTCCCAAGATGTATACTCTACAATGAAATGGTAACAATTGTGAACTACTATGAATTGGACAACCAAATAGAGCAGAATCTGTCAGAAACAGGAGCAGAAGTTGCTATACATACCAAACTATTCTATGAATGGGATATAACAGGGATTTAGGGAATCTTAAAAAAAGGTTAGATTGTTTTATAATATTGTTAAAATTTATGGGAAGTCATTGATTTGGACTGAGCTCCTGCACTGGTCTATTTGCTTGTAAGGTCTGCGTTCCAGGAAATCAGGAGAGATGATAGCCAAATCCATTAAGCCAAATGGCGTCTGCTTTTCCTTCCCTGTTTCTGCTTTCTTCAACCTTTTCTGCGTATAAACCTCACCCTGTCCCCTCAGCTCATCAGAGATCCTTTCTATTTTGTAGAAAGGTTTAGGAATATCTAATGATAGCCAATTAGATCTTTAAAACTCGATTTGCTGAAATTTTATTATTTTACAATATTTTCACTGAATTTTGTGCTGCCACAATGGTAGTCATTACCCAAGTGTGCCTGTTGAGGCCTTGCCATGAGTTTAGTCCAGATTGAGATGTGCAGTATGTGCAAAGTACATGTCAAATTTCAAAGGCTCCGTATAAGAGAATATGTAAAATATCTTACTTTTTATTGGCTACATGTTAAAGTGATACAATCACAGCTCTGTTGTGTTAAATTAAAAATATAGATATTTTTAAAAAACAGGGCACAGTGATTGGACTGTGAGCCCCACCTTTCCCCGCCCCCGTGAATCTGAGCCCGCCCCTCGGCGGCTGCAAGGAGGACCCGGAGGTGGCTCAGTCTCCGCGGACTCCGGGAAGGCGGTGTCCGCCGCCCCGCCCCTCCCCGCCGCTCCCTTCCCGCCCCTTCCGTTCCCCGGGCGCGTGCGCCCTCTTATTCGGCTCTCCTAGGTTTCCTGGGGTCCTGCCGCTTTGAGCTGGGGCGGGAGCGGAGGACCCCGCGCTCAGGGGTTGCCAGACCATGCGTTGGGGGCTGCGCCCTCGCGGGCCGGAGGCGGCCGCCCTGGCCACTGCCCGAAGTTTGTGGGGTACGCCCCGCCTTCCCTGCAGCCCTGGATGGCAAGGGGCGACGAAGAGACTTCTGGTGCGGTCGGTCTCCGGGGCCAGTAACCACCAGCCGAACTCGAATACTGGCAGATACCGGGACACGGTGCTGCTGCCGCAGACCAGCTTCCCCATGAAGCTGCTGGGCCGCCAGCAGCCGGACAAGGAGCTGGAGATCCAGCAGGTACGGGCCCCGCCTCGGCGCAGGGCCTCCAGAGAGACCCGATCCGGCCGCGGGCACAGGGCACTCGGCAGGAGCCACACCTCTGTGCCCCACGCGGGTGCGGGTGGGCGGGGGTGTGACCAGCTCGGCGGCATTCATCTGCTTCGCACAGATTTTGTGGGCTGAAAACCTAAGTGAAGAAATCTCTAGATGAATCCCTCCTTTGTAGCAGGTTCCGGAGCGGGAAATTAAGGGGTCACTAGTGATGCCCAGATACCAGCATGTATCGCACGTATGTCCCATTTCTATCGTAGGCAAAAAAGATCGACTTAGGGCACATTTCCAGTGCCTTGTAAAAAGCAAATTCACGTGTCCACATGTAAATAAAAACCCAGGCTGGGCGCGGTAGCTCACGCCTGTAATCCCAGCACTTTGAAAGGCCAAGGCAGGAGAATCTCTTGAGCCAAGAGTTCGTGACCATATTGGCTAGACAGCCTCACCGCCCCCATCCTTAAAAAAAACCTTAAAAACCTCAATTATGATGAATAAAGGGGAAGTTGAAGCCCACTTTTTGGATCTTTTAGATCTCTAGTTGGAATTATGACTCGTTTGAAATATATAGTAGCAGTACTTCCTCTGCTGAGTCCCCTTTATAGACTATGTGTCTGTATGTGTCTGTCTCCTGTTTTAGATTGAGCTTTTTTTTTTTTTTCTTTCTTTCTTTTTTTTTTTTTTTTTTGAGACAGAGTCTTGCTCTCTCGCCCAGTCCAGAGTGCAATGGCGCGATCTCGGCTCACTACAACCCCCGCCTCCCGGGTTCAAGCGATTCTCCTGCCTTAGCCTCCTGAGTCGCTGGGATTACAGGTGCGCACCACCACTCCCGGCTAATTTTTATATTTTTAGTAGAGATGGGGTTTCATCATGTTGGCCAGAGTGGTCTCGAATTCCTGACCTCAAGTGATCCTCCCGCCTCGGCCTCCCAAAGTGCTGGGATTACAGGCGTGAGCCACTGTGCCCAGCCTAGACTGAACTTTCTAAGGGCAGAGATTCCTCTTGTTAGTTTCTGTAATTCTAGTCTTTAAAAATCCCTGATATTCTTGGAATATTGGTTAGGTAAATATACTTAGCCTAAATATTCTGACAGTTATAAGAGTTCATCTAATTTTTTAAAGGCTTTTTAGTACCTTCTGTATGCCAGAAAGAGTGACAGTTTCAAATGTTTTCTCGTTTAATCTTCACACCAGCCCTGTACGATGGATATTAACACTTTTTTTTTTCAGATGAGAAAGCAGACCCGTAAGTGCACAGTAACTTGGCCAAGATCACAGCAAGTGAGGGAAGGGAACTGAGACTGCCATGCACGTTGTTCCCAGATTTGGGGAATGGCAAGCATTGCAGCCAAAGAATAGCAAGAATATGTGTGTCGGGAATCTGCAGGTCCTTCAACATGGCGGGGATGAGGAGTGAAGCCTGGGAAGTGATGAGAGAATGCATGAGAACTTAGTGGAACTAAACCTTTGTGGGGTCCTGCATATCATATAGAGTTTAGACTTCAATCTGAGGTGTATGGGGAAACTACTGAAAGATTTTAAGAGATGTGTACTTAGACACGCATTTCAGAAACCTCACCTTGTGTTTCAGAGTTGAGTAGATGGAATGGAATGGATTGGAATGGAAATAAGCAAGTGTTGGCTGTTATTTATGGTTAGACTCAGGAGTATGTATTTATATGATGTTTAGATATCGTTGTTCTTTTTAAACAGAAATGTGGATTTTCAGAACTTTATTCATGGCAAAGAGAAAGAAAAGTAAAGACAGAATTTTGCCTTCATGATGGACCTCCTTATGCAAATGGTGACCCTCATGTTGGACATGCTTTAAATAAGGTAACTGTAATTTAGGTTATGACACTTGAAAGAAAGTGTTTATGTAAATACGCTTTATAAAAGTGTATTCTAATTATATGATAATTATGTAAATTTACATTTGCACATAAAACTAAAACATTTTCATAGAAAGCAGTATACAATTTTAGTACTGCATGAAAAAAGCATTGGTGGTATTTGCTTTGAGCTTGATGTTATATTAGTAAACATCATCTTATTCAGTACATAATTATTGTGCAAGACATTGTTCTAGATTCCAGGAATTTAGTCACTGAATGGGTCAATAGTGCTATTAGAGACCAGGCGCAGTGGCTTACGCCTGTAATCCCAGCACTTTGGAAGGCTGAGGTGGGTGGATCACTTGAGGTCAGGGGTTCGAGACCAGCCTGGCCAACATGACAAAACCCTGTCTCTACTAAAAATACAAAAATTAGCTGGGTTTGGTTGTGCATGCCTGTAATTCTAGCTACTCAGGAGGCTAAGGCAGGAGAATCATTTGAACCCCGGGGTCGGGGAATGGAAATTGTAGTGAGCTGAGTTCATGCCACTGCACTCCAGCCTGGGTGACAGAGCGAGGCTGTCTCAAAGTAAAAACAAAAAAAACCCACAAACTGCTATTAGAGTAGTATACATTGCATGTTATGCCATAAATTATATTGAAAACTTCTGAAACATTTGAGACGTGTTATACATCTTGCATATTTCTCAGTATTAGTGACTTCCACAGAAGCCAAACTATGCTCTACTGCTTTATAGTTCACTTTCGAATTTTTAGACATATTATATCAGATGGTAAAAATAAGCATTTACTTCTTTCAGTGGACAAAACTGATGTGCTTGATTTTATTTTGGTACATGCTATTTGATACCAATTTCATTAAAATTTTATTTTTGTTAAACTTGATATTTGAGCTGTAGATTTAAATGAAATTTTAAGAATACAGATATCTTGTACATCTTACTCAGTTTTCCCCAATGATGACATCTTGCAAAACTATAGTATATTACAACTAGGGTATTAACATTGATACAGTTAAGATGCTGAACTTTACTATACGAATCCCTCATGTTGCCCTTTTATAACCAAGTCATCTTCCTTTTGTTGCACCCTCCCTTGAATTCCTTTCAACTACAAATATATTCTCCATTTCTATATTTTTGTTATTTCAAGAATACTATTCAAATGAAAACATAGTTTATAACCTTTTGGGATTGACTTTTTTTCACTCAGCATGAATCCCTTGAGAGTCATCCAAGCTTTTTAGTAGTTTTGTTTTTTCATTGCTGAGTGGTGTTCTATGGTGTGGATGTATCACAGTTTGTTTACCCATGAACCTGTTGAAGTACAACTGGGTTGTTTACAGTTTCTGGCTATTATGAATAAAGGTGCTAAAAACATTCATGTACAGGTTTTATGTGAATGTAATTTTTTTTTTTTTTTTTAAACAGGCTCTTTTTCTCACCCAGGCTGGAATGCAGTGGCGCAATCACAGCTCACTGCAGCCTCAACCACCTGGGCTCAAGCAATCCTCTCATCTCAGCCTCCCAAGTAGCTGAGATCACAGGTGTAGGCCAGCATGCCTGGCTAATTTTTATATTTCTTGTAGAGATAGTGTTTTGCCATGTTGCTCAGGTGGGTCTTGAACTCCTGGACTCAAGCAGTTCACCTGCTTCAGCCTCCCAAAGTGCTGGGATTACAAGTGTGAGCCGTTGTGCCTGGCTGTGAATTTTCATTTCTCTGGGATAAATGCCCAAGATTGCAGTTCCTGGGTTGTATGGTAGTTGCATGTTTAGTTTTTTAATAAAATGCCAGACTGGTTTCCAGAATGGCTGTACCGTTTTACATTTTTCTTTTCTTTTTTTTTTTTTTTGAAATGGAGTCTTCCTCTTTTACCCAGGCTGGAGTGCAGGGGTACAATCTTGGTTCACTGCAACCTTCGGCTCCCAGGTTCAAGTGATTCTTCTGCTTCAGTCTCCCAAGTAGCTGGGATTACAGGTGTCCGCCACTATGCCTGGCTAATTTTTGTATTTTTAGTAGAGATGGATTTTGCCATGTTGGCCAGGCCGGTGTTGAACTCCTGACCTCGAGTGATTCACCTGCTTCTGCCTCCCAAAGTGCTGGGGTTACAGGTGTGAGCCACCATGCTCGGCCCCATTTTACATGCTTATTTAGCAGTGTATGAATGATCTGGTTTCTCTGCATTCCTGCTAGCATTTGGGTGTTGTGACTATTTTAAATTTTAGCCATTCTAACAGGTATGTAGTGATGTCTCATTTTACTTTTAATTTGCATTTTCATACTGGCTAATGATGTTGTAAGCCTTTCCATATATTCATTTGCCATGGGTTGAATCTCTTTGGTGAAATGTCCCTTTATGTCTTTTGTCCATTTCTTAATTGGATGTTTTTTCTTTTTACTGTTAAGTTTTGAGAGTTCTTTATATATTCTAGGTAATAAACCTTTTTTCAGATATGTGATTTGCAACTATTTTCTCTCAATCTGTAGTTTTTCTTTTCAATCTTTTATCAGGGTCTGTTGCATAGTAAAATTTTTTAATTTTGATGAAGTTCAATTTGTCATTTTATTCTTTTTTGAATCATACATTTAGTGTCATATCGAAGATAATTCTTTGCCTAACCCTAGAGCCTGAAGATTTTCTCATACATTTTTTTATTGTGTATATAGATATTTTTTTTTGTTTTTTAGATGGAGTCTTGCTCTGTCACCCAGGCTGGAGAGCAGGGGCACTATCTCGCTCACTGCAAGCTCTGCCTCCCAGGTTCACACCATTCTCCTGCCTCAGCCGCCCCAGCAGCTGGGACTACAGGCGCACGCCGCTATGCCCAGCTAATTTTTTGTATTTTTAGTAGAGACGAGATTTCACTGTGTTAGCCAGGATGGTCTTGATCTCCTGACCTCGTGATCCACCCGCCTCGGCCTCTCAAAGTGTTAGGATTACAGGTGGGAACCACTGCGCCCGGCCTTTCTCATATATTTTTTCTAAACGTTTTACATTTTATATTTAAGTCTGTGATCCATTTTGAGTTAATTGTTTTATAATGTGTAAGACTTACGTCATGGTTTATTTTTTTCCCATATGGATGTCTAGTTGGTTTGGTATCATTTGTTGAAAAGGCTGTCGTTCCACAATTAATTGCTTTTGTACCACTGTCAGAAATTAGTTGGGCATATTTGTGTGGATTTATTTCTGGATGCTCTGTTCTGTTCCATTGATCTATGTGTCCATTTCTTTGTGAATACCACGGTTTTGATTATTGTAGCTACAGAATAAGTATTGAAATTGGGTAGACTGATTCCTCTTATATTATTCCTTTTCAAAATTGCTTTAGCTGTTTTAGTTCCTTTGCTTTTCTATATAAATTTTGAAATAATCTTTTCTGTTGCCACACACACAAAAACTTTTGCTGGGATTTTTATAGGGATACATTAAAACCCATATGTTAGTTTGCGGGGAGTTGACATCTTTATTATGTTGACTCTTCCAATCTATGAACATGGTATATCTTTCTGTTTATTTAGGTCTTTGATTCTTTCATCAGTGTTTTGTAATTTCAGCATATAATCTGGTAACATGTTTTCTGTTTCTTTTTTTTAAGTGATTATAAATGATATTATACAGGTTGAACATTCCTAATCTGAAAATTTGAAATCTGAAGTACTGCAAGATTAGAAACTTTTTGAGCACTGACATGATGCCACAAGTGGAAAATTTTATACCTGATCTCACATGACAGATGCAGTGAATACTGTTTCATGCACAGAATTGTTTAAAATATTATATAAAATTACCTTCAGGCTATGTGCATAAGGTATTTATGACACATAAGTGAATTTCATGTGTAGAGTTGGGTCCTGTGCCCAAGATATCGTATTATGTATGTGCAAATATTCTAAAGTCTGAAAAACTCCCAAATCTGGAACATTCTAGTCCCAAGCATTTTGGAGAAGGGTACTCAACCTGTATTTTAAATTTTTATGTCTATATGTTCATGGCTAGTATATAAAATATAACTTTAAATGTTTATTTTATATCCTGTGACCTTCTTGAATATCTTTTTTGTTTCTCTATTTCTTCTTTACTGCTTTCTTTTACATTGAGTGAATATTTTGTAACGAAGCATATAAGTTTATGTTTTATTTTTTTTAGAGACACTGTCTTATCTTGTCTCCTAGGCTGGAGTCTGGTCATGTGATCATAGCTCACTGCAGCCTTGAACTCTTGGACTCAGGCATTCCTCCTGCCTCAATCTCCTAAGTAGCTGGGACAACAGGCACACACCTCCACACTTGGCTAGTTTCTTTTATTTATTGTAGAGATAGGGTTTCGTTACATTGCCCAGGCTGGTATCAAACTCCTAGTCTCAAGTGATCCTCCTGCTTCAGCCTCCCAAAGTATCATGATTATAGGTGTGAGCCACTATGCCCAGCTGCATTTAAATTTCTTTAATGAATTTTTTAGATGTCTTTAATGATATTTTTAGTGTGTTTTTTGAGATAGTTTATTAGTGGTTGCCCTAGAGCTTACCATGTACATTTTAACAGAATCAGCTTCAGGTTTATGCTGGCTTAGTTTAAGTAAAATATAGAAATGTTACTCATATCCTCTTTTCTCCCTTCTTGTGGTTTTGTTGTTATGCATATTACATCTATTACGTTACAAACCTTGCATTACGTTGTTATAATTATTACTTTGCCTTTTTTTTTGAGATGGAGTCTCGCTGTGTCGCACAGGCTGGAGTGTAGTGGCGCGGTCTTGGTTCACTGCAACCTCTGCCTTCCAGGCTCGAGCGATTCTCCTGCCTCTGCCTCCCGAGTAGTTGGGATTACAGGCGCCCAGCACCACACCTGGCTAATTTTTTTGTGTATATATATTTTTTAATGGATATGGGGTTTTGCCATGTTGGTCAGGCTGGTCTCAAACTCCTGACCTCAGGTGATCGCCCGCCTTGGCCTCCCAAAGTGCTGGGATTACAGGTGT